CGCAGCCGGGAGGAATTAGCGCGCACCAGAGCTCAGCACGGCCGCACTCGGAGCGCGGAGCGGCTGCACCGCTCGCTCCTCCGTGCCCCACGGCTGCCATGCGGGACAGCGGCTGCAGCCAGCCCCTTCCCACATCGCTGCCTTAGGAAGCCCATGGTCCATGCACAACACTGATGGTTTCACTGGGGAAGCCGCTTGCTCCCAAAGCCGTCTGGTTACCGCTTTGTTTGGCCGTGTGGAGATGCTCTCCCAGAGGGTAGGCACGGGGCAGTCGACGTGATGGACCTGTATGTGGGACAAGCTGAGCAGCTTAGGGGATTGCCCTGCCATGGCTGTGAACTATTTACCGGCAGTATCTGGCACGGAGCAAACTCCACTCCTCCATCYCTGCTCCCTTCCTCGTCCTCCCCTGCCTGCTCACTGTCAGTGCCATCCTTCCTACAAGCCAGCCGAGCATCCCCTCCCCGCGGGGAGCCCCGTGCGTGCCGGGGGGCTGTGTTGCTGCTGCCCTGCGTGGCCCAAGAGCCGCGTTCACTGGTGGAAAGGCGCCGCGAGCCCCCTCCTTCCCCGCGACGCTCCTCCCCTGCACAACTTGGCCATCCCCATCCCCTCGCCTCAATTTCTGATCTACCCGGGAGCCCGGCRCTCATCCATCCCCTGCCTCGGCCGGGGCGGGCGGATGCGTGGCGGGCAGCCCCCGCGGGGCCGGCGCCTCGTGGTGCGGAGCCGGCGCGCGACGATGAGGCCGGGCGAGGAAGCAGCTGCGCCGGCGTCGTCTTCGCCGCCCCGCTGCCCGCGCGGAGCCGCCGCGGCTCCCAAGTGAGAGGAGGCGGCCGCGTCGGGAAAGGCACGGGATGAACTGAAGATCAAACATGTATGGCAATTACCCGCCCTTCATTAAGTTTCCCGCAGGCTTCGGCAGTGAGTATCCTGCTTGCGCTCGCGCTCTGCTCCTTCTCGGGTGGAGGGGGGAAAAAGGGATTTAAAAGCCCTTTTTTTAAAAGGGATTTAAAAAGGCCAACCCGTCTTCTGTGTAGCTGTATGTTTGCCGGGCCACACTTTGGGAACGGGCTTCAGCTGGGCACAGGATACGTGGGTGCCTTGGCACCAGCAGGACCAGGTCTGCTCATTAAAAGACCAGGATTCAATCAAACAAGAGCTTTTCCTCTTTTTTTWAAAAATTTATTTTGTTAAAATTTGTGAAAATCCAGGAGGAAACAGCTGCTTTTCAAATAAGGTTTGTGTTATTGTTATCAGAAGTTATTCTCCCCTRTTTTTTTCCCTCCTGTCCCAGATGCTCACCTCTGACAATTCTCTAAGTGCAGCAAAGTCACTGGTGTGGCACCAGGGCAACCTCAAGTTTTGCAAGCTCCTGATTTTCCAAAACACTTTTTTTTTTTAAAAAAAAAATTCAGATCGTTTCTGCAGAAAAGAGACTTCTTGGTGGAAATAAAAAATCTGTGTCCCGCTCAGGATTTTAAGGGACAGGCAACTAAAACTTGCGCTTTCACCCATTGCTGCAAGAAGAGTGAAATGATAGATGCAGAATGTTTGATTTTTAATATGTTGGGTACTAAAAGTTTACAAAGAGACAACAGAAAAGTGATGTTCAAACTGTTCTTCAGAAGAAGTAGACACAGATTCCTGCTTCTACAGGGCTCACAACGCTCTGCAGGACGCTGGGCAGATTTCTAGGAGAGGCAAGTGTTAGCAGAAGAATTATTTCTGCAAGGGAGACATAGACACTAGTTTCTAACCCCCCCAAGCAATTCAACACATTGGAGGTTTAACTATCTTTTAGTTAACAGTGTACTTAACTGGCCTTTGAGCAAACCTCTCATTGCTCTGGTGTTGCTCTGTGCTGCAGGAAGGCAGCGTGAAGCTGCTGTGGCTGCTGCTTAACTTGCAGCATGCCGAGATTTCAGCCCTGAAATTCTGAGACTTGTTTAGAGTGTATCAGCAACAAGTTAAGATGATTTGGTTTTTTTTCAGTGCAAGCGATCGAAATATTTCTGACTTGCTYGCAGATAACAACTAGAGGGTGACGCATGCATTTTTCATAATGTGTATAGCTGTTATTTCCAGGCTTAAATCGCTGAATAACGCGGGCAAACTTGTATCTGAGAGGACATGCACAGCTAGGAACATCATTTGTGCTGAGGAAACGGGCCCTGGGACTGCAGAGCATTGGAGCTGAGCACACAGAGGGACAACGTGTCCAGTGCAGTGTCACCTTTATGCATCTAAAGCACRAGCGGATGGATTTGCCCTCGCAGCCTCTGATAGAAGAACATGGAAGGGGCTGTGAAAGGTGGTTTTGTCGGCAGCGGGATGCGCTCCATCCGGATCCCAGCTCCCGGGGCGGGGAAGCCGCTGTGCCGGCTGCCGCTCTCCGCAAGCACGGTTGGTTGGGACGAGAGGCTGGCTTGGCTGCTCCACAAAGTCTCTTTGATTAGCGCTCATGTAACTTGGCCTGCCGCCCCACCACCTCCGCCCRCGGCCCTCTCAGCTCTGCCCAGCTCAGCGGGGTTAGGCCGGGTCACCTGGGGGCTCGGGAGAACTGCAGGGGAAAACCAGGAGAATTCCTAAGGGATCRGCTGCATGATGAGGGTGCAAGAGTGGTACCCAACAATGCAGGGTCCCCCACTGAAATCCACAGCAAACCCTGTGTTGACTCCTGAGGAGTTTGTTCCCTGCTTCCCTGCTCAGTATCTTGGTTCCTGGGAGGGGAAGCACATGTGGCCACACTGCAGGTGCGCCTCGTCTGCATGTCCTTAGATGCAATAAAATCACAGCTGACCTCCAGCTCATACCTGATGCTGGGTCAGGGTGGGTGAAAGTCTTGGTTGTCTCCAGCCCTGTCAGTTGTTGCGGCCTGATGCGGAGCCCTGCAGCTGAATGAGGAGAGGAGCGGAGTGTGTCTCCCTGCTGCCCCGGGAAGCTTCCTTGTGCCTATTCCCGCTTATCTGTGGGCTTTTGTGCATTAGATAAAATGCATTTCTGCAGTTGTAGCAGCAGGGTTTCTCCATGTGCTTGAGCAGACAGAGTAGGAGGAAAGATGTCTCACTGCCTCAAGTCCCCTTGGATGAAACAAGGATATTTTTGCCCACCATGGGGCTATGATTTTGGAGATGGAGATACAGATGGCAGTGAAGAATCAAAGGTTTGTTGCACCCCATCTCTGCTTTGGTGGCTGATGGTGGAGCTCRGGCAACTCTTTGCTGAAAAATTGACACGTGTGGTGGGGAGGAGCATTAACAGACCTGCTTGTGGAGCAGAATCAGATCCTGTTTGCACGTGTGACTCTGAAGCTGCAGAAGGTGGTTACAAGCAGTAGTGAGCCCTGATACCTGTTGCAGGGTCTCAGCTGGAGTCCTTAGGAGATACGTGAGCCATAGTGAAGCCAGGAGCCCTACCTGGCGCTGGACGGCCGGGGGCTGAGCAGGGACCTCGCTGCGGCCATCCGCCTCTCCAGYGTCTAGCTGTCACCTTTCATTACCTGACAGACAGATCCGACCTACTTTGGCCTATYTAAATGTCACCCGTGCCGAGTCCTGGTGGAGGCAGCGGGGCTGTGGATGGCACACAGAGTGGGCTCCCTTCTCCCCCGTGCCCCCGGCTCCATCCTGGGGGATTTGCCACCTTCGTGGGGAGCTCACAGTGCAGCAGGGCTGTCAGCAGTTCATGCTCCTTGTAGACTGGCGCAGCCGGATGATCCTGGACAGGGGCTGGAAGTCAGGAAAAAGTTTGGACCACGTTGCAGAGAATCCTTTGCTTTGACTTGGTTTTACTCTGCCAGGTGAACTGACCTTTGTGAACTGACCAAATTTCTTCTAAATACAAAGGCATGGGGTCAATGGAGGAGCAGCCTCCATCCAGCTCCCCATCCCACGGCACGGATAGTCTGTATTCTAGGAAAGGGTGAAGAGTCGCTCCTCATATCTCTTCTCTTTACCTGCCGTGATGTACAGATCTCTGCCCGGGCTCCCCTTTTGTGGCCTATTTTCCAGGCTGGACATGGACCAAGAGGGCTGGGTACCCCTGTGTGGTGGTGGTGGGAAGTGGGATGGGTGTCTCCAGCGGGAGGATGAGGCCCTGCATCCTAACTTGGTTTCTCCTGCCTGGCTGCCTCCGAGGCTCCTGCTCTCATCACGGCACCTGCTTTCCCACTGGGAGAATTGATCCCGAAAGTCCATGTGAGACTTGACAAAGACCTTTCCTGCCCGCTCTTTGCGTGGAATTAAGTCTGAAGCGGGTTGATAACAGCAGATCGAGTCCTCCTTGACTCTGACAAATGTCTTTAATGTTATTCAGCAAGCTGACCTTTTCCCGTCTTTATTGTGCATCTTCCCTTTGAATCGGGTTTGATTGTTACTTCAGGTAAAATAACAAACACTGTCACATAAAGAACTTTGCAATAATGTTAAAAGGGGGGGAAAAGAAAAATCCCAAATCCCACCCAGCCTTGCTTTCAGTCACAGAGGGAACAACAAACATCTTCTGCACCAGCTGTGGGAAAAACAGTGGCGTGACATTCCTGCAAGTGTCTTGCCTTGACACTCGAGGGAATGGTCGCCTCTGTTGCAAAGCCAACACAGGAACAACAGCTTGCTGAAATTTTAATGACAAATAATGCCAAGTGGAGTCTGTAAATTCTAGGGGAGGGAGAAAAGGTTATATATAAATCCTTAAAAAGCAGCTAGGTAACTACCCCGTCTGGATTGGTGGGCATTTGGCATGTAATACCACCGGCAGATTGGGGATCGGGCTTGTCCAAGACAGTGTCTAGGCCCTTGGTGGTGGTATGTGGGAGACATATATCCGTGATGTGGAATGTGATGGGACATGGGAGACACACATCCGTGATGTGGAATGTGATGGGACATGGGAGACGCACATCTGTGATATGGACCGTGGCTGCCGCCCTCCTCCCCACGCCCCTCCGCGTGTCTCTTGTCCCTCCGTGCCCCAGCACTCAGTGTCTCTGCCTCTCCTCGCAGACTCGCCTGTCCACGCCGGCTCCACGTCCGYGAGCCCCTCGTCGAGCGTCCCGCCCGGCAGCGCTGCGGACGGCGCTCACAGCTACCTCGAGGTGCCCGCGGGCGCCTCGCGGGCGCTGCCGTCGCCCATGAACGCCATGGGCTCGCCCGTGGGCCCGCTGGGCTCGCCCTACCGCGTCATCGCCTCCTCCCTGGGCTCCCACTCCGTCTCCCTCTCCTCGGCCCCCGGCATGAACTTCATGACTCACGCCAGCCCGCAGGTAGCCAGGAGTCCTCGGGGACTGGGTTAAATCCGAGCGTTTGGGAGGGAGGGTAGGATGGTGGTTGTGGTGGGGGGCTTGGTCTCCCTCCGCTGCACTAAGGAGCAATTTGTCTGTGTGGAGGGAGCCAGCGTAGCCAAGCACGGYGGTGCAGCAGCATTCCCTGGAAAAGGATACCTGCTTCCTCTCGCTGTTCAGAAAAGAGACAGCAAGAGACACGTAAATGCTAAATGCCAGCCGYGTACTCTGTGTCGCGTGCAAGCTCTGCCTGATATGAGCTGAAGGGGAACCAAGTGCTCCTGTCTGCGCTGCCTGAGCTGTGTCGGCTGCTGAGGTTTTCCCTCTGGACAGAGCAGGGAGATTCCTGGGGCTGGGGCCTCTAGCTCGGCACAGCAGGGATGGTGTGGGATTTTACCTCCTTTGATGCCCTGACCTTTACTGGAGCTGATTGTGCACAGAAGTGCTCTAGGGGGTGCGGATCTAAGYGAAAACGCAGTATTTTATTAACAAGCTCCTGCCTTTTACTAATGGGGCAGGGAATGCTAGAGATCCCCACGGTTCTGTCTAGGCCAGCAGGGAGATCCCCCCCAAATCCCCAGGGAGAGCTCGGGGGGTGCTGGCCGCACAGGCACCTCTTCCTGGGAGGCATGGACACAGGGAAGCGGTTTCCCTGGGCTGGGTGCTGAGCTGGCTGCCGAGCTCCCTGCTCCGAGGCGCGCGTTCCCCCCGCCCTCGCCCTAACGCGAGGAGACAGCTGAGCCTCGGGGATTCGGCGGGAGGCAGCTAATGGATCTGGGTTCAGGCAGGTGTCCCAAATATCATCCATGATTGCACTTAACCTGCGGGAGCYGGCTGCGAAGGCACCAATGGCTAAACTGCTCTGATTCCCCCTCCACGTACCCTCTCTCTCTGTTGGTGTCTGAAGTGCAAGTAGAGAGAAAGAAAAGGTGATGCCTGAGCTCCCGGTAGCAATTTAACCATAAAAAAATTCCCTCTGTCTCAGCGTCTTGGAAAGAAGTTACTAGGAAAAGGAAAGTGGCTGGATGGTTGGAGGAGGTGAGATTTGAGGTCTCTCTTCCTTGGGCCAAATTCAGGTTTTGGAGCATGTTGATTTACTGCTATTCCGAACCTGGTCCAGCTCCCTGCTGGAGGGAGTGCACCTCCATTCCTCCTGGGAAACCCTTTTTGGAGAACTTTGATTTTTTGGTAGGGAAAGACATGCAGACTTGCTTTGTCTTTAGCTTTTTCTAATGGAAAGTCCAAAACCCAAAAGAGGCTAAGCCCCTTGTTCTATGYTGAAATTCCCCATGGAAATTCTTATGCTTTTTGTCTGTGAAACCTGCACAACTCCTTGGGGAAACAAAATGCAGAAAAAAAAAATGCATGAACTCAAGTGGTTTGGGTATTGTGGAGGCTATAACTAAGGCTGTAGCTGGACTTTCTTCCTATATTTTTTTTCTGTCCTTTTGCTTGAAGGAAGAAAGATAAATGGGGGTGGTGGAGGGACAATTACAAAGACCCTGCCCTGGCTGGACAGCTTTGGATGAGACATGTTCCCTGGCTCTTCATCCTCGCTGTCCTGCGACAACAGCTCAGGAGCAAACAGCAATAAAACTAAGCTCCGGGCAACGTGAGGCTTGGGTCTCTAATCAATGTCAGTTTGCAACCTTTAACTTGGAGCAGCACGAGCAGCTCCTGGGGAGCTTGGCTGGATCCTTTCACCTGCAGCTGGTTGTAGATATTTGATTCAATCCCCTTTTTTACGTCAGGGAACCCCAGATCTGCACCTTTCTCCAGTCTGTGGTAGCAGCTGGGAACCCCAGCCCTAGGTAGCGAATGAGGCGGTTGTGTTTTCATGCAGACTTGCACATCACACAACAGAGAGGGCCTTTTGGCTAAAAATAATAGTGTTAAGTGGGTTAACGTCATTTCAGCTCCTCCGGCCACGCAGCAGTACAGGTTTAATTGCGACAAATCCCTGGCTGCAACTCCCCTCCTTACTAAGCGTTTAGTGCCTGATGCTTTGAGCAGCTGATCCGTGTCTCAGCAGCCCCCTGAGCTGGAGGYTGTGACGGAGCATCTCCTCCTCCTCCTCCTTGTCTTCAGTTACAGCAAGAGTGATCTCTGCTATGGGGCTACTGCTTGACCCCTTCCAGCTAAGCTCACCTTGCCGCYCCCAAGGGATCTCCAGGGATGAGCGGAGGGAGGAGGAGACCTCACGCACCTGGTCCCATCTGACCCCAAATCTGCTCAGCCTATTGGGAGTGGTTTTGTGGGGTGCTGGGCTCTAACATCGCACCCACCTCATGTCCCATGGGTTGTGCCTCCACAGCTCAATGTCCTGAGCAATGTCAGCAGCTCGGAAGACATCAAGCCCTTGCCAGGTCTCCCAGGGATCGGAAGCATGAATTACCCCTCCACGAGCCCAGGATCCTTAGCCAAACACATCTGTGCCATCTGCGGGGACAGGTCCTCAGGTAGGAGGGTTCCTTTCTTGGGGAAGGCTCTGTGCTGCAAAGGCCTCCGCGGGCGCCCCGAAACGCGGTCAGCCTGGCTCACCCCAAAGGACAACCACCCCAAAAGACAGCTACTCCAAAGAGGTTCTCCTCTGTGCGTGACCTCATCTGGCACTTCCATTTCCTTCTGTCCCCAAACTGTTGTCTTATCACAAATTGCATTTTGTGTTGGTGGGGCCATGTCTGGGCATCCCTCAGACGCCAGGTCTGGTGACCTGGCCGTGCCTGGTGGCAGTGCCCCCATGTGCTTCCTGGGACTCTCCTGCTCCTGCCCCCCAAGTGCCAGGTTGCCCCATAGCCTCCTTTAGGGTGGATATGGCCCTTCATCACCAGGAAGTGGAGATCTGGCCTGGATTTTGATGGCCACGGGTCACTATCTCAGCTAATGGTCCCCAACACCAAGGGCCTTTCTGTTAGGGAGTCCCCTTTACCTTTGGGGTGGGCTCAATCTCCTCCAGCTGGTTCCCTGGGCTCCGCAGGGAAGCACTACGGGGTGTACAGCTGCGAGGGCTGCAAGGGCTTCTTCAAGCGGACCATCCGCAAGGACCTGCTCTACACCTGCCGCGACAACAAGGACTGCCTCATAGACAAGCGCCAGCGCAACCGCTGCCAGTACTGCCGCTATCAGAAGTGCCTCGCCATGGGGATGAAGAGGGAAGGTACGCGTCGGCAGGGGGCATATTCCCCCCTTTTGTTTTCTTTTTCTTTTTTTAAATTATTATATTTTTCAATAGTGTTAATCCGGCCCCTGGTAMCCCTCCAGAGTTGGAGCGCTTTAGAAACCTACCCTGACCATTTCTGGGCACTTTTGGTCTAGTTTCGTAAAGGAAACGAGGTTGATGCAAACTCATTGAGATAGGAATGTAGAGTAGGGCTCAACCTTAATTAGACCTCAGAGAATCTAGGCAGGGCTGTTCTTCATGACCCAACCTGTTGGAGGCCAGTCTGCAAGAGCTGTGCTGCTCCCAGAGCTGCTCGCTCCGGAAGGATCTCCCAGAGCAGAGGCTGGCGATGCTGCTCGCTGGCCGTGGCAGGGCTGTCCCACAAGCGGCCGTGGTGCGGGTGCCAAGGTTGCCCTCTCCGTGTGCCCCAGCTGTGCAGGAGGAGAGGCAGCGGAGCCGGGAGCGGAGCGAGGCCGAAGCGGAGTCCACAAGCGGCGGCAGCGAGGACATGCCCGTGGAGAGGATCCTGGAGGCCGAGCTGGCCGTGGAGCCCAAGACAGAGGCGTACGGCGACGTGAGCACAGAGAGCTCGGTAAGCGGCACCGTGCGCTTGGCCTGGCACCAACAGCAAAGGCTCTAGCAACTCGCAAACGTGGCTGGGTTTTTTTGAAGGAATAATAATAATGTCTCCTCTGTATCACTGGTAATTTGGCCATTTTACTTGTGGGTCTGAGGATTGATAACACGTCAATGTGTGCAGCGCAGGGGGTGATTATTGGTGACTTTACATTGGCCAATTCTCCCCCTTTTTACCCCACTCCTCCCCTTTGGGGTTGCTCTTCCCTTAGACCAATGACCCCGTCACCAACATATGCCACGCCGCTGACAARCAGCTCTTCACGCTCGTCGAATGGGCCAAGCGCATCCCCCACTTCTCCGACCTGACGCTGGAGGACCAAGTCATCCTCCTCCGGGCAGGTACCGTCCTCCACACCCTTTCCCAGTGCATCCATCTCCTTCCTTGGGACCGTATCCTCTGCCCACCCTGCAGCAGGCAGAGAGGGACCTTGCTGATGTCCCTCCTCGTCACCCTTTCGTCCCGTGTGCCTCCCTGTCCTTCCTCCAGGCTGGAAYGAGCTGCTGATCGCCTCCTTCTCCCATCGCTCCGTGTCGGTGCAGGACGGCATCCTGCTGGCGACGGGCTTGCACGTGCACCGCAGCAGCGCACACAGTGCCGGCGTGGGCTCCATCTTCGACAGGTATGGGGAGCCTGTTGCCATCGCCCCCGGCCAGCCCTCCTCCAYCCCTCCCCTCTGGAAGGGGAAGAACTAGAGGGAACGGAGAGAAATTTGAGGCAAGACTGGCTTAGAAAGAGGAGGGGACATTTGACTGGCTTAGAAAGACCAAGGATGGGATAAAGGCACCCTGGAAAATGATTTGGAGCTGCAAAAGAGCCTCCTCCACTGTGTGTCCCCAGGGGTGGGTTGGTGTCCCTGCCCTCTCCTCGCACCTTGAGGGTTAACCCTAACCAGATCTAGAGCTGATGCTGATCAGCAAGAGCTCTAGATCTCAAAGCCTTAAAACCCAACTCCACTTGTGTTCTGCCTGGGAAAACGGAGTGGAACCAGTGTCACCTCCACTGTAGGGTTCTGACGGAGCTGGTGTCCAAAATGAAGGACATGCAGATGGACAAGTCGGAGCTGGGGTGCTTGCGAGCCATCGTGTTGTTTAACCCTGGTGAGTCACACGGCCACAGGCCCTTGGAGCCGAGGCGCTTCCACACTGCTCCCTTCTCCAGGCCACGTCCCAATTCCTTCGCTATGGAGAAGGGACTGGCCTGGTGCCCACGGGTGGGAGACGATGGGCCAAGCTTGGCCTCTTGGATGCAAAAAGCTTCCCCACTGCAGTGACTCCCCYTGCCTGGGGTTTCTCCTTCCAACAGATGCCAAGGGCTTGTCCAGCCCTTCAGAGGTGGAGTCACTGCGGGAGAAGGTCTACGCCACGCTGGAAGCCTACACGAAGCAGAAGTACCCCGAGCAGCCGGGACGGTGAGTGTCCCTGCACCGGGTGGAGGATGAGGGTGAGCACGCAGCCTGCTTCCTCCCAGGGMCTGCCACGGGTCCAGGCCTTCTGCACTCCTGGTTTCTATGAATCTATGACTGCCCCAAGAACTTGTCCTGCCTCCTTCCACATCCCGGAAACCTTGTCTGGCATTCACAGGGTCAAGAAGCAAGGAGTTCAGGGGGAAGCTGAGCCATTGGTTCCCACTAGCATCACTTGAAACTTCCAGTTTGGGCCCTGGCTGAAGGAGAGGGAGACGGTCAGTCCCTGCTGACTACTCACCTCAAAAGCGAGGGCAGAGCCAGGGATTCTCCACTGCAGCCACCCCGTGCTCCTGCAGCCCGGAGCAAAGCCGGGGAACTCGGGCAGCCCAAATTGCCCGAGCACCACAGCAGTGTCAGCCTGGGGCTCCCATCACTGCACCAGCCCTGCGCCGGAGCCCCCGGCACTGCAGGACGCAGCGGTGCCGCTTCTCGATCCAATCCCACCCTCTGCTGGCCGCGCTCTCGCAGCGCCCGCGCCYGCATCCAGCCCTGCGCGGCTGCGCGGGATGCGCCCGCAGCATCTGCTGCTCTCCCGCCTCCGAGCCCGGCTGCAGGGAGCATGGGGAGGAAGGCCGGCTCCTCATCATCGCTGTGCGCTGAGCAGGGCTGTCCGGAGGGAGGCAAGGGCCATCGGCAGCGGGTTGAGCCGCCTTGCGGGGCCTGTGCCGGTTTGGAGGTGATGGCGATAGCCTGGGGGAGATGGAGCTCTTGGCCTGACTGCTGGCCAGGGAGAGAGCCTGGGGGCATCTTCTCTTTTTTCTTTCTTTCTTTCTTTCTTTCTTTCTTTCTTTCTTTCTTTCTTTCTTTCTTTCTTTCTTTCTTTCTTTCTTTCTTTCTTTCTTTCTTTCTTT